TAACAATGAAATGTTTTTTTTTTCAAAAATACGAGATCATTATTTTCCATCTTCCTATTTATTCTGTAAGGCACAAGTACATTATTTACAATGATTTTAAACGTACGAGCTCATCCATGTATGTAAAGAATATTTTAAATCGATGGCTGATTACCGTAATCCAACTTTTATTCGCATGCGAGAATATTTCTCGAAGTTTGTGAGAGCCCTTTCATCGCGAATATTTCTCGCCGAGAACCGGTCCTTAAAGTCTATAAACAACAGATCCAAAAAGGCTAGATCGCGAAAATTAATCGTTGCAAATTAGTTTATCCATGGTAAATCGCGAAATAAAGTCTGGCAATTTAAAGTTGGTCTACAGTATTTAACGTGTTCGAACAAAGTGTCCTAGTTAGCTAAAACATGCTACCTATAAATCACTTGACGGAATATTTTATCACAAAATTACCCGAGGAAAGATATCACGTGGTGAATAATAATATTCAACGTGTCACGGCCTTTCGTCACAACAGAGAGAGCGAGTGTAGGAAAAGGCGGTTTTTTCTCTTTCAAACCATGAGCGCATGTTTATATAGAAAGTCATAAAAAGTGGGCGTCCTAATTATTGTACGGAGATTGAAGAACTTGTGTTGACCACACCTTAAGAAACAGATTTGTACATAGTAGATACGTACTTTTATTTATTGTAATTAAGTTAAGCGGTAGATAAGACGTAGATCATTCTTTTAATTGAAAGAAAAATGTCTGTTTTGAAAGTTTATTTCAACGCAAATTTCGCAGATTCTAAAAAAATAGTCATCCTTTGGTAGATACCCAAGCTTGTTCTCGCATGAAATTTCCAAAACAAAATGTGCTGTGAATCGATGAAAAGTTGCATAAATGTTAGAAAATTCGACCTTTTTTCTGATCTCTCTTTGACCGCTGTTTACTCGTAATCCAAAACGTTAAACTAAAAGTCTTTTTTGTGATAGGGATGGAAACAGGTTTTTACTGATAAACTGTTGCATTATTATACTAGACACTGAAAATCACAAGCCAATAACGAGTCCTAAAATATCTTGTCCTTTGTAAGCATAATATACACATTATATATACAATACAATGTATAAGCACTAGAATATCAGTGGTATGAGAGGAGTATGAGAGAATATCTTGTCCTTTGTAAGCATAATATACACATTATATACACAATACAATGTATAAGTACTAGAATGCAATGTAACATATCTAAATTGAAATTTTTCATCATTGACCTTATCCAAGCTTAAAATGTACTATTGTGAGTTATAATACATTGTACATTCTTTTGTTACACTAGCTTGTCATTTATCCTGGCAAAAAATGACATCTTCACTCAGCTTATTTTTATACCCCCCGCTTGAAAAGTGGGAGGGTATACTGTAATCGGTATGTCCGTCTGTCTGTTACGCTTTTGGGTACACATCTCTTATCCGCAACTCCTCTCATACCACTGACTAAAATTTGATGAAACTTTCACAAAATCTTTATTACATATTGTCATTGTGCACCTCCTATTTGTCCCCCGCTTGAAAAGTTGGGGATATTAATTTGGGTCTGTCCGTCCGTCCTTCTGTCTGTCTGTAAAGCTTTCGTTTCCACATGATATCTCGAAAACCCTTTGATTTTTTGCGATGAAATTTTGCATAGCAACTCCCTATGGACTAAAAAGACCCCTATTGATTTTGAGGTCAAAAGGTCAAAGGTAATAAATTTGCAAATTCTCTCTGTAATAACACTTTCGTTTCCGCGCGATGTCTCGAGAACCGTTTGAGCTTTTGCAATGAAAATTTACAAAACAACTCCTTGTGGCCTAAAGAAAACCCCTAGTGATTTTGAGGTCAAAAGGTCAAAGTTCAAGGTCATAAATGTATACATTCCGTCTGTGTGTAACACTATCGTTTTCGGGCGATATTTCAAGAGGATTTTGAGCTTTTCCAAAGTAATTTTATACCAAAAGTCCCTAGGACCTCTCTTACCCCTCTCAAAGTGTCCCGCCTCGTTTGTTTTATTAGTATTTATTGTATTACATGTCGCTATTTTTAGCACAGGGGCATGAAGGAGAGTTATTACGTATAAAACAGGTTCTCGGCTGACTGTTTATTCTTATTACATCTATTAGAACTGTTTAATAAAGGTTAAATTAGACACCATGCGTTGTGTAAAATTTTGACAATACATCGAACGTGAATATATGCATGTATGTGACTTAATGTTTGTAAATAATTTTAGCTAAGTTAAAGCGGTGCTGTGGACTAGTGGTATGTCTCTCGTTTCACATGTGAGAGGGCCAGGTTTCGCATCCCGGAAAATCCGATTTTTTTTTTTCGAAATACTTTTTATTTTACTAAATGGTAGTATTCAGCATGTGAAATGAAAAATAATTTATGAGGTCTGGCTTGTACAAACTCATAAAATCATCATAACATTGTGATAAATTTTCCATTTAAAAAGAATTTTCTACACACATAATAAAGAATAATCAATCAAACCTTTATATCCATATTGACATATTTTATTTGCTTCAGTATAAATTTAATAATTCTACAAATTCAGTCAAGGGGATCCGACCCCCCCCCCCCGAACTGCACATTGCACATGGTTTACTTTTTCCCTAGGCGGGGGACACAAATTCTCTGAATTAGCTTGTTTATTTTTTTATCCGACGCATATTTTGGGCTCCCCATAGCAAAACATTGACACTGCAATTTATATACATATGGAAGGCGGGGCGTATCATTTAGTGAGCTCATTGCTCACAGTAACTCTAGTTTTGTTTTCTTCAAGTGGTTTAAGCGACAAGAACAAGCAAGTGATGGCATTTTACTTTAGTAAAGTGAGTAATATTTTAATGAAAAGTTGTGAATATAAAAATAATTTTATTACATTTATATTTATCTGAAGAAAGTCAGAAGCTCTCATTAAATGTAAACTAAAATAAAAAACAAATTAAAATCATTAACGTACGTTTAACATATTAGGATTATATTTCCCTCAACAAAACACAACGCAATTAATTTGAAGTTTATACAGGTAACTCACTCTTAATTAAATTAAAAATTGTAAACAAAATCGGGTGATTGGATTGAAAATTGTATTTTCCTTAAAAAATTCAGGGACAATAACATTCCTTGGGACATTACGTTAAACATTTTCGTAATAAAGCATTGGAACAAAGTTATATTATTGTTTGTGTTTATCTTTGTTTTATTTTGCTCTGCACTCAAAGCAGAGACCGACAAAACCTGTGCCACCCTTCGTTTTTTAAAAAACTTTCTAAAGTTTTTAATGTGCAATTTTTATCATATACCCTGCTTGAAAAATGGAAGGGTATACTGTAATCGGTATGTCCGTCCGTCCGTCTGTACGTCTGTTACGTTTTGGGGTACCCATCTCTTATCCGCTACTCCTTTTATTTAATTATGTAATTTAATTAAACTTTCACAAAATCTTTATTACAAATATTCCTTTGTGCACCTCCTATTTTATTTTTTGATCCGACACATATTTTGGGTTGTCCGGCAACAGCAAAACATGGACGTGACGTTATAATCAAATTGAAGGCGGGGGGTATCATTTAGTGAGCTCATTGTTCACAGTACCTCTAGTTAGGATTATAACAACTTTTTTTACTCATACATGTAAGTATACAATGATTTACATATTTGCCTGAGATATAAAGCTAGAAATAATACTCAAAATCTGTTTCAGTTTTAATTCCTTATTTATAAAGTATTAAATGAGAAAAACAACAATTATACTTGTGACATGCAAATAATTATGAACTGTTTTTCTATATCTTTTGTAAAAAGTTGATTCTCTATATTATTGTCACTTGGAATATGTTTCTAATTTTTGTAAAAATTAAATTCTACATGTTCTTTTAAGAGAATTTAAAGTATAGCATATTTATAAGTACATTTTCTATTCCTCGGCTTTGTACATGTATGTTCCATATTTACATAACCATAGTCACTGCCAGAACTACTCATGAACTCTTATATATTAATCGGTCACAATATATTCGACTGAGTTTAAGTAACAAACAAAGTTTCCTTGTAACCCGCATAATACAATTTTATAGAAGATCGAATGGTAATTTTATATCATGGACATTTCAATGTAATTCCAAAATATTCTATCAAGGGGCGGATAAGCCATATTGAGGTTAATATGGGAAATCAAATTCATTGCATTCTTCCAAGAATATGAGTATTCAAACACGCATCAAATATGAAATTATATTAAAATTCCTTTAAAAAAAAGTAGCTGTGTAATAATAAAACAACATATAATTTTTTTATAATGTATAAAAAAAGAGTGATATTAATTTCAATTACGTGCTTTATACACTGTACAATCTGCTCACATTTTATATGAATACATTAAACGGTGGAATTCAATGTGATTATCAAATATCCCTGGCTCGTTATATGCTTAGACGGTGTACAATTTCAAGAATAATGTGATAATTTTGATAGGTATAAAAAGTTTATAAAGAGCATTAAAGAGGGAATCATTCTCCCTCCATAACGTGCTATAAAAGGTATTTGTTTGTAGTTTAGATGTTTGAAAAAATTTCAAATAACTTTGACATAAAATAGAATAAGACACAGTATAATTTGGAAAAAACTATGACAATCTTGATTCTCTAAAACACATATACATATCCTGAGGTTTTACTTCAAAATGGACCCAAAGCTTATCCCTTAACATAAGAATATAACGATATAAGCAATGTTAAATAAATATGACGCGTCATGAGACTTTTGGTCCAAATGTGGTATTTGTAAAGCAATGAGTAAACATCACACATATTTTCCATGTTTCCAGATTTTGAGAAAAACAAATGCCAATTCACTTTTTCCGTGATTAAAGAGGGGACATAAAAAATCAAGTTTATAATTATATCATGTTTTGACTGTCTCTGTTTAAACTTCTTTACAGTGCATCGCAAATGAAAGTATAAATATTATCTCCCTTTGGTAAGCATTTCTTCTGTTGTCTAAGTACATGTATACTATCTTCTGCTCGATATTGTGCCGACTGTGATTATCTTATGTACATGTTATAAAATGACTGTAAGAGCCAGAGTAGTGTTTTGTCTAGTGCAAGTCCTCTCGATACATTTGTAAGAGACAAGAATATGTATTGATATTAAACAATCAAAAAAGTCTATGTAAATAAATCTAGAGATGAACGTGAGTTCTACATTTAAATATTAACATCAGCAATGCGTACATCTACATCTACAATTTTCCGTCTGTTTTTTCATATTGGTGAAGTTCTTCATAAGTGTTTTGGTGGTCGAGTTCACTAAGTTCTGCATACGGGGAAGTAACCCTATTCGATTAGAAAATGATTTTTGCATAAAGACGTCAATCTTAAAGTAAGAATGATTTGAGTAACAAATAATTAAATAAGGGAGCAAAACAATACATACACATCTTGCCCACTTTGTTTATCTGCAAATTAAAAAAAACTAAAAATTACTACCTTTCCGAAAAAGTTTATACTTTTATGCTCCCGGATCGAAAGATCGTGGGGGCATTGTTTTGTCCCGTCTGTCTGTTTGTCAACTTTAACATAAGGTACAACTATTGCGCTGTTCAGGGTAAGTACAAATGTATATACCTCTTCAGTCTACATCCCCCTCCAGAATTGTGGGCATAGTGTTTCACGAACAGATTTTGTTTTAAAACATACTTTTGACATTTTCCTTTGGTAACAACAGCATTACATACAGATTGTAGTTCTAAAATATGTTCCCCTACAGTTCGTGGCATTTGTAGACGGCTTGAATATAATAATCTCCCATAATATAATTGTAATGGAAACTTTTAACATTACATAAGCTTTTGATAAGTTGATTTCAAATACAACTGTATTATTTGTTGTTTAATTTTTACTCCATTCGATGTTGTAGACATGGAATTGAAAAACAATTGGAATAATCGCCGTTAAACTGTTCAACATATCGTGTCTTCATTATTAAAATTACACCTAGTTATCTATATTTGATATTACCTCTTGAATCAACAGCTGAAAATTCGTTGTAATACACTTTCTCATTCTGGGTGTCCAAAACTGTCCCTTTTTCTGTAAAAGAAAAGTTACATTACAGAAAGATAAAGTAAATGTAGCAATTCTTAACAGTTTTGCCAACCTTCTTAGTCTATCAATTTTTGTCTTACCAACACATCATGTGTGTGAAAAATGATTACTTTTAATTGAATAGTTAAATAATAAATTAGACAATTTTCTCATTCAAGGATTTTTTTAATAAAGAAATCAAAAGAAAATAAAGGAGAGCTTAATATGCGAGTTATGAGAGAAATTACCAGTATATTCAAAATAAATCAAAACCCAGGTTTTGTAATTATAGCGTATTTATCATTGTTTTACCAAACTCTAATTAGATTTAGAAAATATTTTGTGGAAATATTTCAGTCTGTGTTTTATTTGAATGGGTTATTTGGAAAAAAATGATGTAATTCTTTTCTGTTACATTTTCGCATGTGTAAAAAAAAAATACGGAAAGGTTTGTTTTTTTTTAATCAGAACATTGCGTTTCCACTTGTCCAATTCAATGATTTGTTTGATTAACATCTTCCCAATGTATTTTATTCATACTGAGAGAGTATCACATGCAAAATAAGTACAGATAATAAAGACTAATGGCTTTGAACATTAAGTGATCCTTATTAGAGATTCTTAAATGCAATTATTAATATTTAATACGAATAACGTGAAATCATAGAAACTACTTGATTATGATAAAAACTTCGATTTACATCAGTGAAAACTTTGATAATGTAATAATGTTATACTTGTATAATAAAATTAATGAATAGATATTTAAAGACAGATTATGACAAAATAGGCGGAATTAAAGAAAATAAAAACTTGCGTTGCATTTTCCTCCAGATGTAAAAGTTAAGGGCACTTCCCATCAGAACAATTAGTACAGAGACAGTCACACTTGTAATGGTTATTGTGTAGTCAATCTTACATGTGTCGCAAGACTGTGACTTCAAAAATTGGACGAAAAGAAAACTGGTTATTTATATGTAGAAAATTTGCAACTGTATTGTGTTTTTATTGTTTATCATAACATGAAGCGAACGTTCACATATTAAAAAAATATTTTAATGTTGCCACTTCCTCTGTTTATTTATTTATATTTTACCTCACCTGTTCGTATGATACACAATGTCCTGTCTCGGAATGACAAGTTTGGCTGACACACTCTGTACTACAACGCTCTTTACAATTGATTCCCCAGTACGATGATCTACAGACTACAAAATGAACAATAGGTCAGAGGACCTTAACTCATCTGGCGCATTTATGATCAAAATCAATTATCAAAGTGATTTAGGCTCAACACGACAAAAACAAATTTATTCTTTTTGGTTTATCCTTATCAAAAATGCAATGAAATGATTATAATATATTCATGTTATATCCAGTCTACAAGGATTACAGTATAGGAAAGCTAAATATGCTTCGGATATAAATTTTACACTTCCTAAATGCCTAAAAATATCAGGCTTTTTTAAATCTCCGTCGATTTCTAGTATTCATTTGATTTCAATATTCCAAAAATTTGAAATGATAAAGCATTTGCAGCATTTTGCACTTTCCTCTTATTCAATTAAGAGATGAAAGAATTGTTTATTCGATTACAGTAACTTTCCCGGAAAACAAGGAACATAACAGGCTTTTATGATATATACATGTAGAGATTTTAATAAAGATACGAACTTATTACCGTATTGGCATATAGGAAAAAAATACCCTTTACACGCCATCCCTTAGTACAATTTTCTTTGCACACTTATTTTCAGTTATCCGAATTTTATCCTTAAAGAGTTATTATACGCATTAAAAGACATGATATATATTTTATTTCTACAAAATATTAAGATATTAAAAGTATTCATACCATTTGTACATAGAGGCCCGTCGTACCCTACAGAACACCTCCTTGGGCATGTACCGTTGATGTGGTCACATGTGGCATTGTTCATGCAATGTCCACAGCTTTCATTGCAGTTTTGACCGTAAGATCCACCTTGACACTCTTGTAAAGATGGAACTAATTACTGACATTCCCCTTTTTTGTACAAACAAGGTCAAAACGAATTTTTTTTCTCTGTTTTTTTTTTAACCTATCTTCCGAAAACCTTTTTTTCTAGTACAATGGACAATGATTAAAGAAAAAGAAAACTACTAATTTAAAACTATTGATATCTTTTCTTAATTTTTTTATCGTAGATAAGAATTATGTTTCGCTAATCCAATAGAGTAAATGAAAAATCATTTTTTGAATATCTACCATAATAGATTATGAACAAATAAAAAAAATAAAAAAATGCATTCAGAACAAGTTTCTGTGTTGCTGTTTATCTGTGTATTGTTTTGTCTTACATCTGGATGTACAAACATTTGTGATGGGGGGAAACCTTAAATCCCTTTCAAAATATTTTTACAAGGTTTTAGGAGGAAGGAAGGATGTAAATACCATACCAGCTTTGCAGAGAGATCCCTTGTATCCTTTAGAACACCCTTGTAAACAAGTACCGTTGATATGATGGCATTGCTCATAATCTAGGCAGTGACCACAGACTTGATGGCAGTTAATGCCATACATCCCACCATCACATTCTGTGTATTTGTGTAGGTGTTTATTTTTAAAATAAATTTATAGTCAGTCTTTCACTATTTATTCCCTCTTCATAATTGTTTATTTCAAACATTTTAACAAATTAAATTCAATAAATTGCTGCCTTTTACCTTTAGTACAAAGCAGTCCTTTGTATCCATCCGAACATCCTTGTAAACAAGTACCGTTTATATGGTCACATTGTTCGTCGTCAAAACAGTTACCACATTTTCTATCGCATTTCTCACCATACATTCCACTATCACATTCTAAGAAAAAGAAATGTAATACATAGCATTTTAACAATATTGCAAACGATATTTTAATGCAAACATCTAAAAAGAATCAAATTTCATAGGCTTTAATGCATATATTTTTTTTAATTTCTATTTTTAATTTGGGGGGGGGTCCCTTATTGGTCGATATTTGTGGCACGTCCTATCACGCTGAAAAGATAACATACATTTTGATAATTAATTTTGTAAAGAAAAAAACTGTCGATTTTTTCAACAATAGCAATATATTAATGAAGGCGACGGAATATGAGATTATTTAGCACATGTATGCTGACGATGCAGTGTGGTCAGTTAAAATCATTTGTGTTTTAATTGGATTATATGGATTATATTTCATGAATTCGTTGTCACGACCTATGACATTCGGTAAGTACAAGATTTAGTATAGATTGCATAAAAATAAATAAATACAAATGGTTAGGTTGAAGTTCAAAAAGGGTTAAAGATCATCGCATGCCACAGTCGACAAATTTCACATTGTCAAGTTATCTCCCGTTGCGGACATTCAGTATATACACTATTACAGGCGGGATGTCACAACTCAGCCAAAAAAAAAATCCAGTCCATGATTTCCCGAGAAGCAAATAAAAAATAATAATAAAAACAATGATGGTGGGGTCCCTGTTTTCTAAGGGGGAGGATGTCCAAAGTCATTTTTATTCTCTTCAGTAAATAGTCTTATTTAAATAACTGCAAATTCAAGGGGGGGGTGTCTGATCTCCCTAGCCACTGACTCCCTGTAACCTGAAATAACAATTGATCTTATGACTCCATAATAGTAGAAAATTTTTCCATTTGACTATACATACATATTTTGTTTCCTGTGTTTATGTCTGTTTGTCTGTTCACAGAAACTTTAACCTTGCCCATATTTTAGTTTTAAGTATATTGGGCTATACACATGGCTTCCACATTTCATAGGAAAATTTCTTTTGGCAAAACCTTTTAAGGGGTACCACCAATTTTGACCTCTTGATCTCTTGACCTTGGAGTTTGACCCACTTTTACAAGAAAAATACCTCAAACTTGGCCTAATTTAAGTTTTGAATAGTTGGTGCTAGGACTTTCATGCTTACATGTAACATGTGTAATCATTGTGAACTTTCAACAGGTTTAAATATCCTTGACCCTAGAGTTGAACCTAAATTAACTTTAACCTTGGCAATGACTTTTGAACAGGTGAGGAAGTACTAGGAATTTCTCTCTTATTTCACATGTGTATTCCTTGTGACAAGACTTTCCCTTTGATACCAACAATTTTGACCCTTTGACCTTGAACTTGGAGTTTGACTTACATTTGAGAAACTTCAACCTTTGCCAAAAGCTGCCATAACAGTTGCTGTCACAACAAACAAACAAATTACTAAAAAAAAACACAGTATACATGTACATATTTTATATTCAACAGATATACTTCTGGTCATATCTCAAGTTCTCCCTTGAATCAGACATGGTGATATAAATATTTTAAAATAATTATTATAAGAGTTGAAAAGGTTGTGCATTTTAAAATATACTAAGCTCTGCGGATGAATTAGATATAACAGTTTAGCTTTATTTCGCTACCCAAAGCACCTTGATTAACTATTTACAAGCATACTGTTTTCTGAAATGTACTGTTTTCTGTCGTCCATCTGTTTGTCTGCAAACTTTTCATATTCTTAACTTCTTAAGAACCACTGAGCCAATTTCAACCAATTTACATGTAAATATGCAGGGGACTTTTTCCAACATAAATCTTCATCTCAAGAACAGCAAGGACATTTATTGTCCCCCATTTTTGCTAAAGGCAGGGGACATTAAATCTCATTTGTTTGTCAGTCTGTCCATCTGTCACAATAAATTTAACCTTGGTCATCATGGTCATATATTTTGAATGAGAAGAGACAGGACTTTTATATTAAACATGTGTATTAGTATTTAATGGGACAATACCATTCTAAATACACTATGATTTTTATTACCCATGACCTTGAAGTTTGACCTACTGTCATAAACAAATTAATTGTTTTAAATCGATCATTTTGAAAGATAAATGAAAGGGCATTCATATTGTACATGCATGTATATTATCTGTGATAAAACCTTTCCAAATGTATCATGACTTTTTTAATCTGTGACCTTGACCTTGACCTTGAAGTTTAACTTACTTTTCAATAATGTTGTAT